TAGCCCGCTCCGACGACCGCGCGGCGAGTCCTCCTCACACCCGTCACCCACTCCCGGCCTCGACCCCCGGCCCTCGGCCCGCCCGCCCAGGCTTCAGCGCCCCTTCGCCCCAGCCAACCCCGCCGACGCCGCTCCGCCGGCCCGGACGCTGGCTCCGGTAGGGGTCCGGCTCCGGCTCGCTCGCTCCTTCCGCCTCCTCCGGCCCCGCCCTGGCCCCGCCCCCGCGTTTGCTCCCCGCCCAGTCCCGCCCCTCGTGGCCGCCGCTTCGGGCCACTCCCCGCGCCTCGCCTCGACGGAAACGCCTGGGGCAGCCTGCTCCGCGGCCCCGCCCACGCGGCTGGTTTCCAGCGCCCTCTGCCCGGCGGCCGCGGTGCGTCGCAACCCAGGAAAAGGCGGTGCCAAAGGGGCTCCAATCCCCGCCCCAATCGGAGAGCAATATGATTGACAGGAGAACTATGCAATAATAGCAGGAGTCTGGGCGAGTTCCCGTGAGTCTCTGGGCTGCGCACCCCATCAAGATACTTTTCCGCTTGGGCAGGTTCGACGGAATACATTTGCTGTGGGAAGAATTCATTGGACCGCACTGGAGGAAGTGGTTCCGGTCGCCATTTCCGGAGCTTTGCTCTTCTCAGTCCTGTTGGCGAGGCAGGGGCTATGACTGGCGCAGAAACCTTGATTAGCACGAGACCGATCCAATCAGCTCTCCTGAGAAAACTCCGTGACGTCTTCTGCAGTAGTTGTGTGGCCGCGAGCAGGCTAGGGGGCACCAAGTTTCGAGCTTTGTAGCGGAGGCTCGCCTGACCTGCAAACCCCGGGTTATGCCCCAGTCGTCGCTGCAATGCTGAGAATGCCAGGAGGTGGCCATCTGTGGCCCGGCTTGGGCGCGCGCCTCTGGGGATAGAAAACGGAAATCTCTCCTCCTGTAGGAGGTGAAAGAGGAAGTCACAGATTGACTTTCAGGGCCCGCGCACCGATCAGAATTCCTGAGGTTGGGATTCTTGGGATGCTGTACGGAAGAGCGCTTCTTGACCCGAGCTTGTGACCTCTCCGCTGTATTTAGCCTGCATCAAACGTATTGCTTTCAAATAAGGCCCAGATGCTAACCATTAGCCTTCGCCTCGTTTATAGGTTTGAGTGGAAAAACAGATTAAACCCGTGTTTCATCCCAGTAAAATATTGGCTCTCAGCTGGAATAATATTCATACCTCTCTAATTTAAATGTTAATTTGCAAAATTTTAAGGCAGGGCATTATTGGAGATTGAAACCTGCGGCTTCATACTGAAGCTACATCCCCAGCTTTTTTTTTTTTTTTTTTTAACAGGTTCTCACGCTAAACTGCTGGGATTACAAAAGTGCACCAAGTTTGACTTTACTTTTAACAATACTTTTTTTTTTTTTTTTAATTTAGGACAGGGTGGGAGCCGGGGAGATGGCTCAGTAGAATAAGCGCTTGCCTGGCAATCACAAGGGTCTGAGTTCAATCCCCAGTCCCGCAAAAAAAAATAAATAGGACAGGGTGTCACTGGGTAGATAGGACTCCTGTTTACAGCCTCCCATGCGCTGGGATTACAGGCGCACACCACCATGCCCCAGTCTCAGTTGTGGCGTGGGGATGGAACTCCTGGCTCCAGCTTCTGCCTTAAACAGGCGTTTTAATCAGGCCAGCCCTATAACAAAACATTTTTACAAACCTTTGATTTACTATAGCTACTGAAGTAGAATCAATTAATGTGTTAGAGATGAGGAAACAGAAATATGTGGAAAGATCTGCCCAGGATCACACAGTAAGTAACTGAGCTAAGGATTTTTCAACCTGTATTGCTGGACTCTAGGCCAAAATATAGGCCATTACTTTAGGAAGCTCGATTTGGCTACTACAAGCCTGTATAATGAGTCTTTGGGGCTAAGTGGGGTCTTCAGTATGTGTTTATTCTATGGACACATCTCCATAACTTCTAACCAAATTAGCCGGGCCTATTACTAATTGTCAGGCTATATGGACAACTATGGGGGTGCTACCCATCAGGTAAGCATTATTTTGATCCATTTATATAGAAATCATGAATAGGCAAAATTCAGCTCCCTTAGGATGAACCGCTCTAGGGCTGGGGATATAGCTCAGCAGCATAAGTGCCTGCCTGGCAAGTGCAAGGGCCTGTGTTTGATCCCCAGTATCACAAAAAAAAGAAAAAAGGATGAACAACTCTGAGTTTTGAATGCCAGTGGCTCTCAGCTCTTCATTGTTAGCAGCAGCTCTCCAGACATCTGAAGCTAGCAGCTACCAGCAACTCTGGAACTCCTCCAAGCAGCAAAGAGCAACTCTATTGCTCTGTCATTCTGTCATTCTCTGCCATTCTCTGGCTGCTAGCCGTCAAGTTACCCAGAGCCTTTAGTGTTACCAGCTTTTTTTTTGGATACTGGGCCTTGCCATGTTCAGGCTGGCCTCAAACTTATGGCATCCTCATGCTTCAGCCTCCTGAGTGTTGGAATTACATGAGTGTACCACCATGCCTAGCTTTTTTTTTTTTTTTTTTTTTTTTTTTTAGTGAACCAACTTTTGGTGTAAACAGTTCAGCCTGCTGTAATGAAGTAGAAATCATGAATAGGCAAAACAAAACCATCCTAAAAAGGCTGTCTTTAGATCTTATACAGAGGAATAGTGTATGGACTGACCTAAGAAAGGTATGAGGAAGGCTGCTGATACTGACAGAAAGGGGTGGGTTCACATATATACAGTATCCTGCTGGTTAACCACAGACTCTGCTTAATCATGGTTAGGGAAGGGGCTCCTTGCAGACAGATTGGAACATCTGAAGCAGGTGCAAATGGGTGAAGTCACTCAGGCTGTGAGGTGCAATCATCTGGTAGGAACGTGGGACCAAAGCTAAGTCTCCCAGAACAGTTACTGTGTGTTATGTAGCCATGGCTACTCATGAGGACTGTATATTAAAAGATGGAAGAAAACAATTTTTTTGTCTTTCTGAGATAGAAAAGACAAGCTGTTATGCAGTTCAGGCTGGCCTTGAGCTCACTGTATAGCCCAGTCTCAAGCTCAAGGGGGCCTGTGTATTAGCTTAGGGAGCCTGCCCATTAGCTCAATTGTTTAAGTGCCTGCTTAAACAAAGGAGTGAGGCTCAGGGTGCTGTGGTTCAATCCCCAGATCCTCAAGCCAAACCAGACCTGCCCTGAGGGCATCCTGTGGCCACCAAAAAAAATCCTTCAAGCTCAAAAAAAATCCTCTTGTCGCAGCCTCCTGAGTGCTGGGATTACAGGCATATGCCACCATGCCTAGCATGAAAAATAAATTTTACAATATTTATTGAGTAGTGCAGGCCTTTCTGTTTCAAGGGAAGGGTAATTTTCTGATTCTTGGAACAAGTGTAATAGTGCAAGTTCCCATCAATTTCTTTAACCAGGCTATACCCTAAAGTATTTAAAATATTTATATTTAATAATAGAAATATTTATAAGTAGAAGGTATGAAACTATTTCATGAGCATAAACTATAAAAATATTTAGTAAAAAAACTATGAAAGTACTCAAGACATTGGAAAAATAACACAGACTGTTACCTTGATCCCAAATTTGGAGATAGCACCGTGACTGAGAAAGATTGATGGATATAGAAACTAGTGGAAAAAAACAATGGAAGATCCCTGGGACTACAAAAGGTAATGGGTCTTGCTGAATGGTAGCCTTGAACAGAAGAGACCAAAGCTCTGAAGACTAGAATGGGCTTAGACAAAAGTTGTCAGCTAAGTGTTGGGTGTTTTAGGTTACATTCTGTTTATAACTACCGCCTTCCATATTTCTTTCTCTGGAAGGATCATCTCTATAAACATCTCAATCATGAGGGTACAGCTTGATCCGGCTGGGATGAGGAGGAGATAACAGAATGTTGGCTAGTTAATGTTTGCCCTTCCACACACTGCTCCTCCTCTGTAATCTGAGGGAAAAAGTGCTCAGAAGAAATGGAAAGATGTAGAGGTGTTATCAGGTAAATGCCGCAAAATTGGCTTGCTAACTAAAAACTGCTGGGTTTGAGGCTGTTTGCCTTGCCTTCCCAACTTAGATTACAGGTTCTTGTTCTCTGAAACAGTTGAATGAAATAAAAAAGCAGTGGCAATGTTTATTCAAGAAAATAAAAGAGGGGCCGGGGAGATGGCTCAGTGGAATAGGCGCTTCCCTGGCAAGCACAAGGGCCTGAGTTCAATCCCCGGTTACGCCAAAAAA